TGACACACACCTCTGCTACAGTTCCCTTCTCCTCACCTCCCCCCAAAAAACTAGAACAGGAACCAAAACAACGAAACAAAATTAAACAAAAAAAAAAACAAAAAAAAACAAAAACGAGGACGAAAAGAAACCAAAATCACAGCTGGACCCTGTCCTACACGAGGTGTTAGAAAACAGGAGCCATGACAACACATTCATTTCCACTAAGGGTGTGTGAAGCAGGTACTGCCCCTTCCGTAGCTCTCGATAAACCTAGTCACTGACAAACACTTGTGGAAAAACATATGCACCAGTCTCCTGCATAATACCAGCTGCAACTATAACAACAAGGTTATAAACATAAACCTAAAATAAGATGATAACATGTAAATACTGGGTTATTTAGTCTACAGTACAGTAATCTGGATAAAAATGACAAGGGATAGCCTAATTTCCTTTCCCCAAACAACTTTTACTTTCCTACGTTGGATCGACCTTCAATGCAAATCTTAACCTCCTGAGGAATAAAAGAAGGCTTGGGAAGAGTCAAAGGTGGCTCCTCTTCTGATTTCTCTAGTTTTCGTGTTTCGGGGGCTGACCACCTCCTCTTCCTCGTTGCTGGGGGCTTGCTGGGTTCTGTTTTGGTGAGCAAAGGTGCTGCAGGCAATCCTATTTTGTCCGGAAACTTCAGTTCACCGTTCTCAGCTAACATCTGTGCGCTTCCCTGATTAATCCCGTTTTCCTGCTCCACATACCTGTGTCTACTTCCAGCTAGACTGTCATTCTTTGAATGCTTCAGCAAGATACTAGCTGAGTCCACGGGCTGGCCCTTTTTAATAGAGCCGTTCTTCAGGTTCTTGAGTGTGAGCGATATGCAGACGTCCCCCACCGAGAGTTTGGAGCATGGCAAATCAAAGAGCTGGCTGGTTCTCTCGGGGCAGCAGGATGACCAGCCTTGTCCAAATACAAAAAAAGGGTATTCTACCAAGACTTCCACGCTGACCTGCAGAAAGAGAGGGGATAACAGAGAGAGAGAGAGACAGAGGGAGAGAGAGGGGAGAGCGTGAGATCACCCGTGTGCCCTCACACACGTGCACGGCAGGCGGCGCTTGCTGCGGGGCAGCGGGATAAAGCTGCAATTCCAAAAGGGCTGTTCACTTTCCACAAAATCAGCACATTGACCACCAGACTTCAGGCCCGTCCTTGTCACATGGCCGTTAATGGTTTCTCTAAGCTGAGCATTTCTTAGCACAGGACCTCAGGAGGAATCAAGCTTTACCTTTATCCAGCTGCTCAGAGGCGTAAGAGGCATTCGGCAAACTGCGTTCCCTGCCATCCCCCTGTGGTACCCACAGCCTGTCAGCCACATCTAGAGACAGCTTCCAACCAGAGGATGGCTCAAGGGGAGCTCTCAGTTCTGATATACGGTTTCCTAAATGACCAGGGGAACGTCATCCTCATCTCTGCCAGACCAAGCGCATACTCACCAGCGTGCAACGGCTGAAGGTGTGCTCGTTTCCTCAGTACACACACAGCTGTAGCTCTAAGAGCTGCGAGCGTGAACCTGCCTTCCCCCAGCAGTCCTGTCACCAGTCCAGCTTCTTCCCTTCTCCACCTGCTCTCCCACTCTGCAGTTGAGTTCGCCTGCTGCACTCCCTCAGGGGGAGGATCCTCTATCCTCCTCCTCCTCCTCCTGCAGTTCCTGCACTGGGTCTTCTTTTCCGCACAGTGTCCCCTTTCCCCTCCCCATTTCACCCCACTTTAAAAACACAGCTGGTTATGGAATCCTATCTAACCATCCTACAGGCAGCTGCCATAGCCAGGAGAACAGACCAGCATCAGGTGCCCACTGCTCCTTGACCTTGCCGACGCTGGTCCCAACATGATAAAGCACCTCAATACCTGCTTATCTTTGCACGTGTCAGCAGTCCAGGCTCAAAGGCTTGGTGTGGGCTCATGTGATTCACAACCCAGGAAATTCTGACTAATACTATTTAAAAATGTGGCGTGTGTTTTCACCTTGCTGTCTGTAACACCAATGAGGTCTGCAATTCTAAGAGGATTGGCTTATGCTGAAGTCAAACATCCGCTGTTCTGGTGCCAAGGTCCCCGTGGCCTCTGGAGCTCTTCTCAGCCATGGGGGGCAGCATCCTGCTCTGACGGTGCAACTCCTATTTGGTAGGGGCTCAAGGGCAGGAGAACACCTGAATACCTGTGCTCATATCTCATTTCTGAGCCATTCAGCAGGCATGGAGCATACCAGCTGCCTGAAGAGCCTTCCCTCTCCAGGAACTGGGATTCACTTGAAAGGAACATCACAGCAGGCTTGTGAAACCACCTCTCACCCTTGGGAGCAACTAACGCTGTCATACCGAGCGTGGCTTTGTATACATTTCAACACTAAGGAACAGAAGCAGTTTGAGATGGACATTGCACTCCAGTGTTCAAACATCTTTGTCCGTAATACTGAGTGTGAACCTTGGGATGAAGCTGCATGTCCTGTCTCGTGGAAGAGGCTGGACTCAATGACAGTCCACGGCACCCAGCAGCCCTGCCACTTCCCTGCTAGCCCTGCTTACCCTCACAGGCGCCCTCCCCGCATGCAGGGCCTGAGGTAGCTCCCTTCGCATCCCACCAGCTCCACATCCCTTTTTGGCAGGAAGACTTCATCAAGGATGTCCCACAGCTCAGAGACAGAGGCTCCAGAACCAGGAAACCAAAGATTCCTATGGGATGTTGACTGTGCCTCTGGCTGGTTAAGCCCCTGCCATGCACTAGCAGTCAACTGCAGTTAATGAGACAGTTGATTCTGCTGGGAAAAAAACTTATATGCTACATACTTCTGCAACTAGGCCAACAAATAACACTGCACGTATGAACCTGCCACTCCACCTGCCCAACATAGTAAGCCACTGTACAAGGAATTTCAAAAGGGGCAGTTTAGAGGCACAAGATACCCCTCACTTCATCAATTTCTGTCACATTAAACCTTTTCTAACCAGACCTGTCTCCCAACAGTCAACTACACACATGGCAAGAGTGGAAATGGACCTGGTCTATGCTCTGAACTATGGAGTCAGTGGGGCGAGGTAACCATTAAAGTCCCATTGCTCCATCACGTTGCATAGAAACACTCCAGTATCAGGATTTGCAGAAAAAATTGCCCAGAGTTTGGGATCCTATTCCATACCTATACCTCTCAGTAAGGGGTCTGATTGGGAGAAGTGGTGAATATCCAGTATCTCCCAGGACTTAAATGGAAACTGCTGTTTACACAGAGCTGTAGGCTTCTCTCCAGGCTGGTGGACGCAGCTTTCTCCTTTATATTGCTGTGTCTCTCCTCCTCCTTCCTTCCTTCCTGCATGCTGTATTTTTTTTTAATTTTTATACTTTCCCATCCTTGTCAAAAGCTATTTGTATCTGTGGGAATCATACATGCTTATGTGCATCATCCTCACCAACACACAAGTTCTTCTTGATGTGAACACGCTTCCATCACATGTTATACTTTTTTTTTTTAACATGGCATCCAAAACACTTGCCTGAACTGTCAGTCACTGAAACAAATCCCAGAACTGGTAGTGGTGATCATGAATAACACTGAAGGTGGTGAAATGCCAGAATTTCCATGATCCAGTCACGATGTTCACATACCACGACTGATTTGAAACGGGTTTCCTCACGGATTATCAAGCCCTGGTTTAGGTGGCTACTTTTGGATTCAGGTAACTTGGGATTCAAGGTAACCATCCTCTACAAGCAACAGAATCATAGTCAAAGACCTTTTAAGTGTGAAAGTTCAGTAAGAACATCCACACATAACTTTCTTCTGACCACTTCATTAGAACAGCAAAACTTAATTTTAAAAGCTTCCTCCCCCAATATCTTGCCATAATTATTGTAGGAGAGAAAGAAATTTGGAAGTTGTTCTCCAACTACTAAGACGATAAAGCAAGAAACCAAAACGTTGGTCCCTCTTCCAAGCACACTGAGGATCCACTGCAAGTTACTCCAAGTTATATTTCTAATTTTAAGACTGACTAGTGAAAACACCCAAAACTCTTCAATGTAGCTGCTGAGTATCTGCAATTTTCTATAACCCTTTATAATTTTATTTCTCGGCCAAATTCATAGGTAAGGCAAGCAATTCAGACTGCTCAGGGAACCCTGGCTGGAGCTGTATCACAGATGACAGGTGCTGGAAGACCTGACGACCAGAAAACACATCATTCAGAAATGCAGCAATTTTAGTCTTGGGGCTCGCTGCTGCAACCAATGTAACAAGCACTCAAGCAAAAGGTGCCAAATAAAAGTGGTTTGTGTGAACTGTATTTTAATAAATGCAAACATACATTTTCCAATTAAGCATTTTTCTCCCTGGTATTATTAAAATGTGATGAAACTAGGAGCGGTAGGCTGGAAACAAAGAGAAGGAAGTGGTTCTGGAAACAATGTGCAATTACGTGGTGGAGCTCTCTGCTGATGGCCTTGATGTAGCTTCCGAGAGACTCCTTGGGTCCAAAAAACTAGAAGCTCTCCCTCTGGCAGAGAGAAGTCTCTGCAGGGCTGCACTCCCACACCTCCTCCCATCCTCAGAGCCTTTGGGACTCCTTGTGTTCCCACCACCGCAAACAACATGTGCCTTCACAAGAGTGGATTTCCTTTGAGAGATTTACAGGGCTGTAGGCAGCACTTTGTGCCACAGGGACTACCTGGCACAATACATGGTCTGGGTAGGCATCCTCCCAGGCCTGCATCTAGCCCAGCTTCAGTACACCGTTCTTACAACAAACTCACCCAGGGCTTGAAGGTTAGGGGCTACTGCTCTCCACAGCCACACGATCCAACCATTTCTCAAGAGAAGCTACCTCTGTCCACCAGACCACTGGCTGCTGAGTTTATCACGAGCTCTTATCTGCTGCTGCGCTCCCAGAATTCAGCAACACGCATCCAAAGACAGACTACAGCCCCCCATCACTCCTAAGAACAAGGGCCCCCCGTGACCAGGGCACACGGACACAGAGGTGGCATGAGGGGAAGGCTGGGAGAGATCTCCCCTGCAACAGCGAACTGAGTCAACAGCTCTTTCTGTGCCTGCTACGGTGCCAAAGATAATGAAAAGGAGAGCATGGAGTAAAAGAAAAAGTAACTGGTTTGTGTGTGTGCAAAGATATAAAGGAAAAACTAAACTAGACAATGGTCTAAAAAAATATGCACTAAACTACACTAGTTGAGGCTACTAACTAGATGCTCTAACTGGGCCTTTCTGATCCCTAGTGTCTATGACTGGTTTTTAAGAAGATTAAGAACTCTAGGTTCATCTTTTCTTTTAAAGGTACACTTTAGAAATGACTAGGAACTGAACCACAGGGATGAAAGCAAACGTTTCACAGAACTTATTTTGCATCTCCTGTGTGTTTTGACCTTAACATCAATGGAGGTGAGTTATTGGCTTCTGCTTGTTCCCGGCAGCGAAGGAAAAGACAGGTTACAATGATGAAAGTGTTATTACAAGAATAATATGTGGAATTGCAAAGAGATGCAGATCTGTAGGTCTCTTCTTTTAGGTAACTTGAATGCAGGGGTGTAACAGCTGGACTGTGGGTTCTGGTCTAGATAACGCTTACTTGACTTCCTAATGCTATGAAATGGAAATCTAGCATCCCTCCACAGCTACGGCCAGTTAATTCACTGCAAAGACACGTAGCTTTAGGTGGGTTAATTTTCCTCTAGGTTTGCATACCTGGGAGAGTATTGGATTTGCCAGGTGACTGGAAGGCGGGGAGAGGAGGGAGGATGACCTCTTTCTGCTGAAGTGCTGTGTCAGGGAGGGGCTGCTGTGAATTGCAGTGATACGACAGAATAGCAGCTGCACGGTGCCTCCCTACTTACATTACAGTTGTATATGCTCAGCTAAAAATAACCTCCTGTCCCTCAATTGGTGAGAAAACTAGCTAATGTTTGCACAGGGTCGGAAAATACAAATTCATCAATATTATAATGACTTCCCAGAGATCCCTGGGAGGGGTACGTAAGTGAGCCAAAGCTAATGATAACAACGCTATTTTTGTATGGCGCTTACTCTTTACAACGTACACTCCCTCGATAATACCATCTGAAAAGCTCCCTCCTTCCAGAAGCAAGCAACTGAGACTTACTTGTAATAAAATACTTTGCGAAGCTGTGCTGCACACACGGCTCCACCAGACTCTGGAGTCAAGATATATTTAAGTCACAGCGCTCAAAGCAGTGCCACTAATGCTGTTCTTTCAACGAGCAGACTAAGCCCTCTTCACACAGGCAGTTTTCTAACGAGTGCTGACTGCTGCATGCCTGCTAATAAGGCTAAATGCTTCCCTATGGCCACGGCGGGCTGAGGGTGAGGTCACCGGAGACTTCAAGCACGTAGGAACGATCTCTCTCTCTTTCTCTCTCAATCCAGGCAAGGGAAAACCGGCAGAGCCGTCCCCGCTATGCAGGGACACAGCTGATCTGGGAAGAGACCCAAGTGCTGGAATCTGCAGGAAACCTAAATTAAACCCCCGTTTCTAATCATATCTCTACGTGACTCGCCCTCCATTCTGGAAGCATCCCCGGTGGGAAACACAGCTGGGGAGTATTTGGGCTGCGATGATGTCAGCCCGCTCCTGATAGGCTTCTCCGTAAGGTGACACTCTGCAGGGTGAGACCCGAGTGCCTGGATTCCTACAGCCTCAGCCCCGGCTCGCTCTCAGCCAGAGGATGGCACTCCACCCCCTCCAAAGGCGCTCTTCTCGGCGCCCGGGACTATGCAACACATCGCCCGCGATGACAGATCTGCGAACCAGACACGACACAAATGCTACCTGCTAATTTGTACCTCTTCTGCTGGTGCAGAGACCGGGTGGCCTGGCTGCAGGGAGAGAAATGAGAGCGAGATGAAAAGTGCAAACGGGAGATGGCTGCTTTTGAAATCTCATTATTCAAGGCACCGGGGCCAATTCTAGTCACTGGTCCTGATCCAAGGACGGTTCCTCTCATTGTGAAGCACCGAAATACAGTGGAGCGGTGGGGAAAAAAATAATGTCTTCATATTGAAAGCACCAGGAGCCCAACTTCTATCAGCTGCACAGATGCACACACATACACGAACAAAACGACGCAGGGAATCTGCATGTTTGGCATGAGAAAGGGAACGTGCCATATGTAGCAACTTACCGTGCATGCACCACTGGGGAAGGGCAGGCCACAGACTGCTGCCACTGCAAGACATTTTTCGTGTAATCTGCTCCTCGGTACTGTCACTGTTTGTTTTCCTTCCCCTGTCAGCCTGAGGTGCTTTACTACATGTGTCCACGTCCAGCTCCTCTCTCTCATTCTCCTTCTCCGGTGCTGAGGGTGCAGCGTCAGGGCTGCAGACACTGCAGTTCGCAGCACTCAAACCACACAAAAAGGATTTCCAACAAGAATATTTAAAACTAGTACCTCTAGGAAGCAAAATGCTATCCAGTATTATGTGAACTGCTCCAGCCTCAACACAGCAGAATCTAAATTGCTCAGAAAAGGGACAGCATCAGGATAACGCTTTACGATCAGTGTGTGCTCATTCTCAACCTAAAAATACCTTTGGAAAGTTACAGGGTTTCTTCCTACATTGCGAAAACCTACGAGAAACTAAGGTTAGAAGCACAGCCTGCCCAGCCACCTAGATGGTTCTTCTTTCCAAATTTCCTTTGAACACACAGTTTAAGTGAGCTGTGCAGTGTTTAAACCACCCGCAACCGAAGCCTCAGTAAAACTCTGTAGTGTATTTCAGAAACTTACGTGTGTGATGGAGCCACTCCCAGGCAGCTCCAAGTTTTCAACCTGTGGAAATTCACTGCCTTGTGCCCTACCTATCCCTCAAGGGTAGGATTTGAGCTGAGTCTAACCTGAGCTTTCTAGTGTGGAAGGTAAAAATCAACTCTTAAAATGCAAAATATATCCTCTTGTACTGCTTACACTGTTTTGTATCTTAATCAAAAAATATGAAGACCATGCAATTCTCCCTGTGGGTTCTCCAGCTATAAGAAAGACCCGGTTTATATCCAAGAGACTGCATTTACCACCAGTGTGACACTGATGGCTCCCCTAGCACAGTGAGGGGGATATTTCTGGGACCAGAGTTGGTATCACGGATGGACAATGAAGAACCAACCTCGCACGGACCCAAAGCGACCGAGACATACCGAGCAAAGCTGCACCTGGGGAGCAGCAGCGTGAGCCCCAGTCCACCCCCCGCGCCCCACCACGCGTTGCCATTACCTGTGCTCGGTGCTCCCCGACCGCAAACTGTATCACGGCAATGCCTGGGCTATGGCTGTCTTCGATCCTCTCCACAGTGCTGGAGTCTATTTTCAGGTCGTTGCTAATTTCCGCGCTCTGTATGAAGTCTTCTGTTTTCAAGTCCTCTACTTTCTTCAGCTCCCCGTTGGCCAGCTGAATGATCGACCCCTTCATGAAGTAGGGGGGCAGCGTGGGGGGCGCGGCGGCAGGGGAAGCGATGGACTGCACCACGGGCAGGTGGATCTGCGCCTGCACCATGGTGGCCTGGTAGGCGGGCTGGGTGGTGAGGGGCTCCGCGCTGAAGTTCTCGTTTTTGGGGACGGCGGTGGTGACGAACGTGTGAGGCACTGCTGCAAACTGGGGGGACGACGTGACGATGGCGGGCGTGACTCCCGACGGCTCGACGTCCGCACCCCCAACGGGTATCAGCAGGGACTGGGTGCCAGGGATGACCAGGTGCTGGGGCAGGCTGCCGGGGTACCCGATGGCTTGCTGCTGCCCGCTCAGGTAGCCGATCACCGGCGGCTGGGTCCCGGCGTAGAAGGCTGTTGCCGGCAGCCCGACGGGGAGTTGCTCGGAGGCGCTGTGGGTGGTCTGAATGACGGTGTGAGGGGACAGCGTGGCCACCGCCTTCACCCCCTCGTGGCCCAGAGCCTGCTGTGGAGACAAGGCGTAGGACCGGTGGGTTGGCTTCCCCAAGTGCAAGCTGGCCTTGTCGTTGAGGGCTGAGGGAGAGGTCTCGCGGTTGGTGGCCTGCTGCACCTCCATGTCTGCTGTGGGCGTGCTGCTGTTGGGGACTACCATAACGGAGGCTCGGACACCTGAGGAATCCCGCACGCCGTACTCGGCGGGGCTCGAGTGGACCACCACGTGCCTGGTCTCGTAATGATGGGGAGCTGGTTTATTGCCTGCTTTGACTAGACCCATGTCGGCAGAAGGCGAAATGCCGTACCTCCGGCTCTTCTCTATCTCGCCGTTCAACACCTCCTTGGCCTGCATTGCCTGCAGCCGGCTGCTCTCGGGCTTCTTGGGGGGGTCCCTGGTGACAAAGTGGCCCCCTGAGTCGGTGTACTGCACCACCACTTGGGAGGAAGGACCGAGGGTGAGGGTGTGCGGGATCACCGTCTGATGGGGGTGCAGGGGGACCGGGATGGTTGGAGGAGAGACATTTCTGACGGTGCTCTGGGAAGAGCTGGAAATGTGGACGTACTGGTTCTGCTGGGTGGGTGGAGGAGACCCGGCGGCGATCAGTCCAGGCGTCCTGACCAGGTGCGGCTCAACTTTGTGCCCCTGCTGGCTTAAGCCGCTCATGCTGGCCAGCAAAGTGGAATAAGCCTCCAGCTGGGAGCGCTGGGATGGAGTGGTCGCAACGGCCGTGGCTGCTGCCACGGCGCCGGTCGCAGAATTGGCTGTTGGGGAAATCAGCTGCGAGGGGATGAAGCCGGTGTACGACCCGCTGTACTGGGGCCCGACGAACTGGAAGGTGTGCTGCAGGTGGGTGTACTGCACGGGGGAAACGGGGGTCCCTGACTGGGAGAGGGCGGGCGAGTACACCGTGGGGAGAGTGGTGGAGGCTGGAACGGACCTGGGTGCGCTGGGCGGGGAATAGTCCAGCCCTGCAGACAGCGACTTGTGCAAACCCTGCTGCAAGCCCGTCTCCACCGACGATGTCCCCCCAGGACGGTGCCGGGTCCCCAGGCCGCCTTGGCCGCCGGGTGTGCTGGGGAGCCATGCTAGGTTATCCGCACGGTGGTTTTCGTTTGGCAGGACCGGCTTCACCTCCGAAGGCAGGCTGGTGGCAGGGATTTCTCGCTTCTTAGGCGGCAGGCATTCATTGCTCCGCTCTTGGTTGGATTTCATCTTTCGCCGTCCCCCCTCCACTGTGCTTGCTTCACTGTCTGGCTGGCTCTGATTTCAGTCTGATAAACGGAAAGTCACATTTGATTTCTGCAAGGGATCCAGTGACTTCATGAGGAATCATCTCCCCGTGAGCACGATTCTCCGATGGCTCCTCTGGATTCTGCAACGAGAGGGTGGGCAAAGGAGAGGGGAGTCACACCGTCAGCACTGGGAAATGAGAACAATCGAGCAGACACCCGAAAACAGCAAGCGAGTAAAAGAAAAACCTCTGCACAAAACAAAACCCATCAGGCATTGCCACTCTTGTGTCAAGGAGCAGTTGACAGCCGCGCTGTACACAGTAGCAAAAATCCTAGGCACTGCTGCTATTGAATCATGAAAATTTTTACAACTTTAGGCAGATCGGAAACTCCCTGGCCATAACTTGCCAAATTTAGCAGTGGTCACTTATTTGCCAAGGCTCACTTTCTCCTCCCTCTGGGAAAACCCTCCATGTCTCTAAGGTGCCCGGTTTGCTCGTCCAGCCTCTCCTTCCCCTACAATGACCATGTTGCCTTCACCCTGCCCTGTCCTAAAAAGCATGAGAGTGCGGCAGGGAGCCCGAGGAACATGCAAGGACAAAATATTTACGTTAGCAACAAGTAGCTATTAGTGGTGCGGAGGGAAGGTGGTGGGTCACTCCTCAACCCTTGAACTCCAGAGTCACCCACAGGGTGAATTCACATCACACTGGGCAGGGATGGAGAGGCAGCAGCTGCCCCCGCATCCCCCCACATGCCACGGCTCCTTGTGGGCACACGTGCCCTTCATCTACCAGTCTGGCAATGAACCTCGGCCACGCGATCTGCTTACAGCAGCAACCCAGAGACAGAAATGGCTCTGAGCCAGCTTTTTAATGTGTAGGGTTTTTTTTTCACGCCAGTGCTTTGAACTCTCTCTGCTACTGACACCTCCTGCCCAGGCACCCAGGCAGTGCTCTGCGCTGGGAGATGTCCCCCCACTGCATGCAGGTCAGCTGGAGCCAGGCACCAGAACCATCTCCATCAGGATCTGATCCTCTTGTTTCTTAGCAACCCGGACCACAGGGGCTGTGGGTACCACACTCCTGGCCACAGCCACACATCCAAACCCTGAGCAAACTCAGCCCTGGGGACACCTCGCTAGGACTGCTTTCAAAAGTACGTTTGGGTTTCCTGATCCGAACCAGGAGCCCCCACTACTGGAAAAGCTCACGACTTTATATTGGGCTAATTTTGCTACTGGAGAAATCTAGTTGCTTTCTTTGCTCTGCATCACTTAATTTGGTGACTTCTGCCACCCAAAGGCAACAAAGTCAAAAAAGTCTTCCTAACTCTTTCATTATCTGCTAAGGACAATATCATAACTGAATCACATCATGCTTTGAAACAAAAGCAAAAGGAGCTGACAGTTTCCCCCTACCTTCCTGAAACCTGCCTCACTTTGTCCCATAACAAACTTTATGGAGAGTGAAACTCTTCCCCAGCCTCTGTCCAGCCACCGCCTGTCACCTGCGCTTCTGGCTGTTTTGAAAGATACGGAATAATGGGTGCAGAGAAACAGTGCACCTCACACTACTGGCATCCTAACAAGAAAAGCATGCACTATATGAAAGAAAAATGGAGAGAGAAAGAATTAGGAGTGGATCTGAAAGAAGATGGAAATAGGATATAGCCCACTTTAAAGTGAATGCTCAGCAGCAATAATGATACTTATGGCAAGTAATATTCCTTTGGGGGTTTTCTTTCCCTGCTGCCTCGCTTCTAATGAACAATAAGCCTGATGTTTATATGTGTATGCAGTACTTTGAAGACATACTAGACTAAGATTAAACCTATCTTTAAGAGCACTCTTTACGTTTATGGTCCTCCAAGCTGCTGTAAGCCTGTAGGAAAAGTCCAAACCTTCTAATGGTTTAACACAATCAGTCTTCAGTTAATTATTCTGTTGTTTAATTATTGACAAACAGTAATCAAACACCGATAGTCACAGACCTGGGGCGGGGGGGGGAAGGCGGGGGACACAGTTCCAGAGCAGATTCCCCAGCTTTCAGGTGAGAGGGAGGATGGAAGGACTCAGGGCAGCTTCAAAAGAGCCTGAGATGCCTTGAGCACAGCGGCTCAGGGGCAGTGGCACCTGCTGAGTGGTGGCTTGGCACCGCCACCCCGACCTGCCCCGACCCGCTGCCAGCACCGCCGCCGCGGCCGGACGATGGCAGCCAGGAGAGAAGGGTCCCTGCTGTATCAGCATGGGTCTTCCCTCTCCTCCTAACAGTTGCTCAGCGCATCTTGGCAACAGCTAAAATTATTATATTACACATGACTTACAGATTTTTATTTTTAAGTTTGACTAAAAATAAAACCGCCGAGCTCACATTTGCGCAGTCATCCTTGGTTAACTTTAGCTCACTGTAGCCTTCTGCCCTGGGCAGTCGGCTTTGGTAGGTAAGTCAGCAGCTTCTGGCTGAGGTGGCTGCCTGGGGATGCCGTGGGGGGATGCTCACGCTGGGCTGGGACCATCCTTCAATCTCTCATGGAGATGTACATGAGCTGCAAACCCAGAATTTAGACACACTCCCATGGGGAAAAGCTGAGCCCTCTGCCTGCAACAGAGCAGGGACCTCATACATGGGACTGAATAGGACCAGTCTCTTTGCTGTGATGGACAAACCACGCTCCCCCAAACTAGTTGTTCCAAAAGCCGAAAGCATCTGGGTTCAGTTTCTCCACATCAAAAGTACTACTATGAAGCTATATGAAACCTGGTGAAGTTTCACTCCACAGGAGCTGAAGAAAAGGTTTCATTCTACCAAACAGCATCAAATCACCTAGTTTTGGGTAGCTTCCAACATCCTTCAAAAATACCAAATACTAAATCTTTCAGGTTTTTTTTTTGTGTGTGTAAATCTTTCCTATGGCTGACTTCATCATCACCAGTAACAAAAGAGCTGCCCAAAATCTCCTGGAGAGCACAGGAGGAGTGAACGAGCTTAACAGAGACAAGGGATGAGACAGCCGTAGAGTGGTGAAGACTGCCCCACTTTTCCAAGCTCAAGTACTTCACAGTGAGACTTTGAACTCTTAACAAACACAAGCCTGGATTTGCAGAAATGTAAATGTACAGCATAAAACAGCCTACTTCTACTTCAAGACTTAAAAATAAAACGGTAAGTTCTCAGCATAATTCAAACAAGACAGGACTGATTTTGCTCAGGAAGCAATGAAAGGAAGACAATCCAAACAGAGCATCTCAAAGGCAAGAGGTACAAGACCTGGTTAAACTGTTCGTTGCTGGCTGTCCTAGAAAGAGGAACGCCTGCCTTCTACAGTGTGCTGCACAGTTCCTTATTTGTACGGGGTTTTTTTTTGGATCTAAGTCATTTTTCTGACTCTCAAGATCTCCCTTCTCTTTAACTTCAGAGCTGTCAATCATGATTTGGGAGATAGGCAAACCAGCAGCAAACACCAGGTGATTTTTTGCTCCCGCCTTGTATGTGTGCGTGTGTAACACGAGTGTGTGCGTGCGTGCACGCCTGTGTAATTATGGCTGGGAAGGTAACGGGGACAAAGAGATCAGGGACAGCAGCTGGACTTTGGTATCTCTGGCAGCGAGTACACATGGAACATTGCTAAAGTGTCTGGACAGCCAGTGTCCGCTGGCAGCCTGCCCACACTCAAATTCCTGGAAAGGCTTAAGGCAGAAAAATAATCACTTGGAGGAGTCACCATCTGGGCTTGCTCCGGTCCCAAAGGGATTGCTCACTGGAGCTCAGGATGTGCATTTTTCATGCAAAACTCCAGCGTTTCTCTGCAAGGCACTCTAAACCTCACTATGTCTCCCAAAATATTTTTGTATTTATTTCACCTAACAAATTTAAAACTCGTAAGAGGATACTGGGTTATAGCTTGAGGGGCTGACTTCCTGTATTTATCCGGAGTTCACCACAGCAAATTTAAAACCAGCAAGGGAAGCCTCAGCCTTCACTGTAACCGTATGCTGCCTCCCACCACCCGGGACCGAGTCCTGGGGTGCAGAGAAGTTGGGGCCAGACTCTCAAGCCACCGCAGCACCTGGCTATGCAAACGGTGGGACATCAGCTAACATCATTTCTAGGTCTCTAAAACACCTTCAAAAATCAGATCCCCTATCCTCTCTGGTCCCTGGCCTTTCTGCAGCTGCTAACAAACTCACACCAACATTTACCACCAGGAGCAAGGGCTGGGACCACATACTTGTTTGCCTTATTACATGGAGCACTAACCCAAGGGGGGCAGCCATCAGCCTCCCACTTCAGGGATACTTAATTCAAACCAGTCACTTATTGTCGAAAAGCTCCTTTGATCCCAAACCCTAAATAACATGCGGGTCATTATGACTTTTTAACTTTTACCTCCACATATGATCAGTAAATTCTCACATTTATCCACGCAATAAAAAACTTGTGTCTCCCCTTTGTCAAGACACCCTGCCTGGCAAGTAGGCATCAATGTAATATTCAAAGAGTACACCAAAAAAATAAACCTTTCCACTGAGCCCGACAAACAGCTCTTTATGTCTGGGGTGTTACTGGGCAGAAGCAGCAGTGCAGTCTGGTGCTCCTGCCTCAAATCGCCCGCCCATCCCACCACGGTAGGATGAGCAGCTAATTTCAGTGGCGCTGGAAATCAGTGGGAAGGGAGGGCACTTCATCCCACCTCTCCCTCCCCTCCAAGGAGGCTGGCATCTTGCACGATCAGATTCAGAGAGATTAAAAGACAGACACATTGCAGAGGGCTCCGCAGCTGCACTCTGGCTCTCAGATCTATATGCCAGCTTCCCCCCACACACACACTCTGCACCCTGCCCGCTGCCAGCTACATATTCAGAGTTGTAACCGCTACAGATTTAATTAGCCTTGCCATGTGCAGCTCAGCGCACGCCAACAATAGCTATAGGAGTTTATTGTCCAATCCGACCAATTTCACAGCGCTCTGGCAGATTTCCCAGGAGGGCCAACTGCAGAGATCCATTAATAAGAAACATGAAAACCTCTAATAAAATTTGAAGTTCTCCTCCCAAAAGTAAAGGATTCCTGATCAACACCATATCCGCGAGACAGATTGTCCACTACAGTGTTCGCTTTTATTGTGTTTCTGAGGGTCC